CTGGCACCTCGTCTCCACCGAATATAAAACTGAGACCAAGTCAAGGAGAAATAACTGGGCAAGGCCTTAGAGAAACTGCAACAACGCAGATACACTCGTTGAGGAAGTGAGATCTTAGAAAATGGTAGCCGAGGCCTTGCCCAAAAGCCCTGGAGCTCCACTCGTACTTGGACTCCAACCAGCCGCTCTCATCGATAACGTCGCTCCCGTCGATTGCTCTTTACTCGATCAAATTCCCGGTGATCGCGGTGGCTCCATTCCGGTAAGCCACTCGATTCCATTTGGCTGCAATTGCGTTCCTAGCGAATTATCGCATTTTTTTTATGTGGGGGTTTTGCTAAATTTGAATCTTCTTCTGGTTTTTGCTTCGGAATCGGAATCTGGATTCGAGATTGTGTTTGCTTATTATAGCTATTGAATTCTGAGATTTTTTTTTGTTTTTGATTCTAGGTGCAAAAGGATGAGTTAGAGCACATACTGAAAGAGCTTAAGACTCATATTAGTGCTGTTCCATTGAAGAAGATGGCTGGAGGAAGTGTGGCTAACACAGTTCGAGGCTTGAGTGTTGGATTCGGTGTAGCGACGGGGATAATAGGGGCTTATGGAGACGATGAACAAGGACAGTTATTTGTGAGCAATATGGGTTTTAGTGGTGTGAGTATCTCAAGGTTGAGAAAGAAGAAGGGTTCCACTGGTCAAGTAATTTGCCCTCAACTGTTGAAAATTTTGCTTGAGTTGTTGGATTTGATCTTCTTTTAATAGCCTTTGTTTCTTTTAGTGTGTTTGCTTGGTTGATGACTCTGGTAATCGAACAATGCGACCATGTCTCTCCAGTGCTGTGAAGATTCAGGTTTGTCTATTCCCTTTTGACGAATTTAGAGTTTCTCAGTAAGAAAAGGTGATTAATAGAAGCTAATTCTCTTTCAGGCTGATGAGTTGAACAAAGAAGATTTCACAGGCTCTAAGGTTTAAAACTTAGCTCCTCGTGTCTCTCTTTGCCATTAAGAAGCATTGTAAATTTATGGAGATTTGTTCGGACAATGTTGTTGATAGTCTTTCTCTGTTACAGTGGTTGGTGGTAAGATATGCAGCTCTTGATTTACAATTAATTCAAACAGCCATTCGAATTGCCAAGCAAGAAGGTCTTTCTGTTTCGTTGGATTTAGCTAGTTTTGAGGTATATCTTTGGAGTAACCAAAAAATACTTGTTTCTAAAGTTCCATTTGAAATATGATCTGTGGCTTTACATATGAACTAAAAAGATATGAACATTCTTGTGACTAGATGGTCCGGAATTATAGATCAGAGCTTAGACAGCTTCTGGAGTCTGGTAACATAGATCTTTGCTTTGCTAACGAGGACGAAGCAGCAGAGCTGCTGAGGTAACTGGTGTTTCTTTATGCCCTGCAAAGATTTGTTCAGGTTTTGTAATCCTTTCTCTTAATTCCATGAAATACTTTTAAGCTCTACATTGTGAGTTTCAGGGGTGAGCAAGAACCTTGCCCGGAGGCTGCGCTTGAGTACCTAAGCAGACATTGCAGATGGGCTGTGGTAACTTTAGGGGCTAAAGGTTGCATTGCAAAACATGATAAAGAGGTTTGTCTTTTCAAAAAAAAGTCGGTAGCTTATGAAGTAGTGTATGTTTCACTTAGCCTTAACTCTTTTCGCCCGCTTCTGAGGAATATTCTGCCATTAGAAAGCCGTAGCTATTAAAATTGTAACTCAAAATCTCACCGTTCTCGTTAGGATTGAAGGACTTATGAATCAATTAG